GTCCTTGGAGACTGGTCTATCCTAGCTGCTTCTGGTTACAAATGCAAATATGGTGAGTTCCATATAGAAAGGTGGAAAACAGATCCTTCCAAGTGCCCGTCCACTTTGGGAAAAAACCGCTTTGGTGGTTGTAGAATTAGTAAGCTGTCCCGACCATGTTGAAACCAACCAAAAAGCCATGGCAACCTAAGACTCTGCAATGGAAAAGATGAAAGTGAGGAGAACCTCCTGCATGCAGAAACGGGTTGCCGGAAAGAAACGGGAAAAAATGGGTTTCCCACCAAAGCCACGCCTGACAACCAGGGGTCGCTAGGCAGCTTTGCTTGGTTTAGTCACCCGGATCGGCTTTCGAGCGAAGGCTCATCAGCAGCTGCAAGCCACCGCCGCTGAAGACGAACATCTGCGCAGTGCCCAGGACGTAAGCGTTCCTCAACAAGCAAGCAGCACAGCTTGTTCCATCCCTAACCCCAAGCAAGCATGTGGCTGCGCCTTTAGGATACCCCTTTCTTGCTAGGCTGAGGGAAACACAAGGAGAACCCTGAAAACCTGGAACCAACCCATATCCTTTGCCCAATGTGCTCCAAGGCGCAGAAACTTGGCTCTGGAGATCTGGCGGCCCAATCGCTCATAGGTGGACAGCACGTGGTCAATGAGAGTCTCCTGAGCCGGCGCTTCGAACATGCGAACATCGCCCACTGGGCCCATCGCGACAGCCAAGAGGTTTCCCGAAACCCTTCCTTTCCTTTGATCTTAAGGCCTTGGGGTCGTTGAGAGAAGAAAAAAAAAGAAGAGGGGGGGCTATGGCAGGCTCAGGCGAAGGGCTAGGGCTCATTTGACTCACGGAACCCCTCTCCTCGTGCTTTGCAAGGAACTCGGGCTCCAGGAAATGCCAGTTCCAGGCCCATTCTTGGCCCAAGTTGTTCACGCAGCTCTGCTGCCAGTCGAACCTGCAACGCACCCCCCGCTTTCTGCCCGATGTTTCTGCGTTGCCCCCGGGAACGTCGGCGTTCGTTTTCCACCCCAACACACACATGGGTTTCCTGAAGCTGCAAACACACCCACGGTCCGTGCTTGGGCCATGCCTCTCCTGTTCGCTGCTGCATTCCGGCCGAGTAACAGGCCCATGTGCAGCTTCCCCGCGTCCTTCCAGTAGAACGCGTTGTCGGTGGTGAGGTCGTTGTGGCCAAAGACTGCCTTGGGTTCCCGCTCAAGTAAAGAAGGGAAGGCAACTTCATCTCCCGGAAGTCCCTGGGCCTTTTTTCTGAAAGCCACCATCTCCCCTTAACAAAAACAATTGAAAAACAAACCGGCCCAAGGGGCCATCTCAGGGTCCTTGGACAGCGAGGTCATGATACCGGGCATGTCTCGGATGATGTCCCGCTCCTGCTAGGCAAGTGGACACATTCACAGCTCTGTCGAACAAATTTGGGGCTTGGCCACCCAACACAAGAAGGCTTTGTCTTAGAATCTCCTTTTGGGATCCACCTGGTGAGTTCCATGTTCTGTGGAGTAGATGTGGCTGCCGTACTTACATTCCCCAAACGGACATACCCCGCTGCGTAGAGGGGTGGTGCAGAAACCATCCAAGGGTACACATCCAAAAAAGACTCGTGTGTGAGAATTTGGGGCAAGGGCCCCAATGATGAGCAGAAGGGTCCTTCTGGATATCTGGGCTTAATTGCTGGCCGCATCACAAACCCCAGCACTCGCACCTTGCCCAGCAGTTCCGATGGGCAGTCCCAGGTCATCCAGGCTTCGTTGACCCTCTGGCCCCTGACCGTCTTCTGCACGCTGTGAGACAGCCCGAACCGGCCTCACTGCCGCGACAGGTGGCAATAACGGTGCCGGGGGGCAAAAACGCAACCGGAAAGAAACAACAACACAAAACAGTGATTACTTGGCAACTGAGTGGCCACTGAGAGCACAAAGCACCCACATCTCTCCTCGCATGCAAAGCGCGCACAGTGCATCCGGCGCAAACTCAATGCCAAAAAACGCAGCCCAGGCGCGATGGGTCTCATGGAACTTGGGCATCTTGAGAAGCACCTGCACGACTCCACCGCTTCAGCTGATCAAACCTGGAAGTAAATACCCAAAACCTGGGGCAAAGAATTAGAGGCTGGATATCCGCACCGACTATCCCTTACCCTTCGGGTTTCATTGGTTGGGGGGGAAGGGGAAAGAAGGACGAGGGCTCCAAAACGAGGACGCTCCTTCTTGAGAGGAACCCATGTCGTGAGGAAGCCGCGTCCGTCCGGGGCTCCGCACTGGGCTGTTCCCAAGCCGGCAGTGCAGCATCGCCCCAGTCTCAATAAAGAGCAACTGATCCTGACACTGCGCCCATTTTAGTCATCCTCAACCCTAAATGGCTGTGGGGGTTTGGTTTTCCAAAAAAGGCTCCCAAAAGTCATTGTAAGTGAACGGATCCCTAAATCACTTCGAAGGATGCGGACCCATGTTTTCCGCCGAGTTCCCTCATCCTCGAGGCTTGCCGCATCACGGACGCGGTGCTTCAGCGGCAAGTACTGGTGGCCGAAGTCCAGGGCCTCCGTCACCAGGCAGAACTCACCTTAACACCAGGGGACCGCAGGTTTTGGTCATTTGGTCCATTCCACTTAGGCAAGCCATTTGGGGTTCCGATTTTTCACCCACAGCCACCTGAGTCAAAACCAACACCTGGGGCCAGTGCTCTGCCCAAAGCCATGTCAGGGCATACAGCGGAACTCAGCACCTATTTCACCCAGGGATGTTCAAGTGGGACGGTGGATCCACGCTGGGTGTGACGCATGTGAGTTGACAACCCATGAAAAAGGCAATATAGGCCATACGAAACCTTAAGGCCTTGTCCTGGACTGGCCTTTTCGGCCTTTTCTTGGAAGGCTGAAAGCTGGCAAGTGCGAGCCACGGAATCCAAACGTACCAATGGGCATGGGACAATGCGGTGGTCTCATTGTTTGTTAAAACGCCCCCATGCCCTCCCAAATTGACTGTGGGCTAGATAGATTTGAGCACGCCTCGGGTACAAGAGAGGTGGCGAATGGTTCCTCAAAGCTTCTGGACTTCCTCAGAGTGAAACATTGAGCTCCCGCGCCTGTCATCTCGTTGAAATCCACAAAGAAGCCTCGGCCCGAGGGAACACCGTCGCTCGCCCTCAGGCGAGCCCTGAGTACACGGCACTTTGGGGTCCTCAGGAAGTCGGAGATCTCCTCCGGCCGAAACTCGGGCGAGCCTCTGCTTGGGCAAGCTTTCTGAACATTTTCCCGATGGTCAACACATGGCCGGGTTTTCCAGGTCATTGCTCATCGCGGCAATGCGTGCTCCAAGGGGCTGCCAGCACGCAACTTGGCCCACATCCCACAGACAAAGCACCCATCAAGCCCTTGGACATGGGTCTGAAACCGGCAAGTCTCCTTGGCCAAGATGTGGTAGAAGAGGGCCTCGCACTTGCACACCTGCGAGCTCTGCACGAAGATCCGCATGGGGCTCCAGTCCTGACCATGGAACCCGCAGCCCCGGGCGCCATGCCACAGGTAAAAATCATGCGCTCACTTGGGTTGACCAGAAAGGTGGCCGGACAAAATTTGAAATGGCTGTGGATCAAAAATGCGTACCAAAAATAGAACCCTGGTAAATGGAATCAAAGACTAAAACTTGCGGTCCCTCGTCGTTTTATTTTGACCCAAGACATTCGGACTGCCTGTAGATTAAACTTCACGAAGAAAACGTTGGGCAGGATCTCCGCGTCTACCGGCTTAGAGTAGGTCACCTGAGTCCAACGAGGTCCAAGGAGAACACACCTTCTGAAATAGATTGTTTCCTACCAGCACCACTAAAAGCGGAAGGGAATGAAGATTGGCTGATCTGGATGGGAATGAAGTGAACAAAACATGGTTCAATGTTGTTACCACTGAATTGGCTACGGGAGCCAAAACACTGTTCGCGGGTACCCAAAACAATCCGAGTGATAAACCCAAAGCACAGTTGGAAAAGAGCTCACTTCAAATGCAAGAAATCGCCAAGGGCTCTAGCCACTTCTGTCCAGAGCCCGCGCTCCAAGGACCTTCAAACATAGCTTTGAGCATCCCCTAAACAGGGATCCTTTGCCTTGTAAATTGTGTGTGTGGAAAAAGCCATGTCAAGTGGGCAAAATGTAGCTTTTAAGGAGCCCTGCCTAAACCTCCTGGTTTTGGCAAACTCTTGAAATTGCGGTGTTTCTGCTCCGCCGCCTTCAGCATCGCCTTCTCACCCTTCACCCCATCCTTGATCTCCGTCTGCAGATTTCGCACGGAGGTCACCGACACTCCTGGAACGTGGCTCTGGGAGATCGCCCGTATGAGACCAAAGTAACGCATCCTCATTTCACGTCAAAGCGGCTTCCCTTGGTATCACAAAAAATGGACCCTACACCCGGGTGAAGCAACTTGAAGTAGATGTCGCGACGTTTGTTGGCGGGTAAGTAAAAAAAGGGGATGGTCCCAAAAACCACCCTAGAGGAATTGTTCCATCTACTTTAAAACTCGAGGTGGACATGCGTCAAAGAAGGGGGACCCCCAACAGAGATGTGGCTTTTCTTTGAGTTTCACTTTTTATGAGCCTTGCGGCCAACCTCCAAACAGGGTGCCACACCCAGTTCTCCCCCCTCCTTTCGGCAGGTGCGGCTTCAGCATCGCCGTGAGCCTCGCTGGGCCTTTGGAAGAGGTCAGCTCATCCGCCTCGAGACATCCACGGCTTCACCGGAAAGAGGAACAAGCCGTCGGCTGTCCTTTAGACCCGCTCCCAAAGAAGGGCACCGCCAAAAAATCAAAAACTCACGGTGTGCAGGAATCCAGTGGCTGGATTAAATACAAATGGGCACCCGGAAGCATTGACGAGGAAACTACGCGAAAACCGACTTGGGGGCTCCTGAACAAACACCCTTCACATTCCAGGGTGTTGATGCTGGCTGAAATGAGTCACAATCAAAACGTGGTACTAAGGTGGTCTACCCAAAGCCATGCAAAGAACTAACAGCTAAGAGGGCCCTTCTGGATTTGTCTTATGAAAGAACCGGGGAACCCAAATGGCTTGCCCTTTTGGTCTTCATCCTTGTGGGGGGTGTCAAAGGAAAACCGAAAGGAAGCCAAGCATTTTTGGGGGAAATCCCCCTACAACACAAACACACCCAAATGGGTTTGTGTCCAAACCCCACCCCCCATCGTCCCCATTGCCTGACCAAGCCGCCGAGGTCGGGAAGCGCAAACCTGTGAGCTGCCCCCGGTTCCGCCGGCCTGTGGAAAGCAATGCTCAGGGCGACCTTGAGCCTTTTGCAATCAGCTTCCCTCACGAAGACTTTGGATTGGTGGTTTGGATTGACCGGGGTGGGGGAAACCTCATGTACCCTCTCTACAAGAACCAGGGGTCCGAATGGCAATGGAAGGGATACCTGAGGACAAGGGGGCACCATGGGGGGAACCCAATTTTGAGGATTTCCATTTTTCAAGACACGCCCATTCTTTGTTCTCCAAAAGGTCTCGTCCCCAAACCCACATAGACAAGTACTATAGTCACTTGTAAGCATGGCCTTGTGCAAACTGAGATGGGCGTGGAACTTGATTGGTTGCACCCTTTGGACATCACGCAAATCGCGTGCAGGCGTCAACTCAGCAAATTCACAGCCACGTCGCGATCACAACTGCTCATCTCACAACAAACATGTTGCTTATTGAAGCAACAAGCTTGGGATTGTTCAGGCAACACAGATGTGTCTCCAAATAAGGGAGCCCTCAAAACAGGTGGTTTCGCCTTTCCCTTTCACCCACCCCCAAACAACAGGATTTGTGTATCCTCCAAAAAGTTGGAACCACACATCCCTCCCTTCTCGCTGCGCTTCGCCCGGGGGGGTGGGGGTCGTAGGGTTGCAGGAGGGAAACAGCCTTTGCACGCGAGCATCTTCAGCAGGGTCCGCAACAGCGCCAGCTCTGCGGACCCCAGCAGCAGTAGGCAGCTCGCCTGACCCGTCGAATTGAAACCCAAAGGTGTCTGGAGCCCAACCAAAAGGTACAAAGGAGATCAAAAAGCAGTATTGCAAAAGCAAGGCTCACAAAAACAAGCGGCATTCATGGGAAAGTTGCATGGCACACCGGGCCAGCTTTACTATTGCCTGTCGTTCGGCCAAGCTTTGCCTCACCCAAGTCAGGGAAGCCGACCAGAAATCGCTCGGAAGGCAGACGAAAACCAACCTTCTGGTTCACTGCCTCCGAGTTTTGAGGAGACCTCCAACCAAGTCGTCTCATGCCCAAGGTGAAGCCGTGACCCGCAGGGCTTCGAGTGAGCTGGGGCGCCCGGCGGTGCCCAAGGCCATGGCAATGGCAACCGGCCATAGCTCCATGGCCGAGATGCCGATGGGGGAAGGATGGGTTGGGTGGCTGGGCAGTCGCTTTGGCTGATGGCCATGGGGAAGCTTTCGAACAGCTTCCAAGTCCAACTACTGCACCGCCTTTTCACGGGGCTTAGAGACTTGGCTTCTCGTGGGCGCGCTGGTTTTGGAGGCTTGCCCTTTGCAGGCAGCAGCACGAACCAAATGCCCCAACCAGACGCATGTGATGTGTGACAAGTTGCCATCCAAGTCTGGCAAAGGGGCCCTCACTCTGATGGAAAACCTTTCGCGGTGCCAGCTCTATGCCTCTCATCTCTCCGGTCAGTGGAAGAGTCAGCTGTGAACCACAGAGAAATATGCTGATGGCTCGTGGCACGAGCTGGCATGGCTCTCATGGCTCTCTTTTGCACATGAACAGGTTTGCTGTACGGACCTATACAAGTGTGGCAGCACCTATACGTGTCAGCGTCTGCTGATGAAAGGGGGAAAAGCGATGGGCTACCCGCCGGAAAGTGATTTTCCGGGTCTGGGTGAAGCCGGAGGTGTCGAACACCCCTGTCTTGTTTTAAGACGCTCCAACTTCACCCTGTCGCAAAGGCTGCCGGCTCTCTGTCCGGAAGCACAATGGTCAAGAGAGGTGCGATGCCAAAAATTGCCGAAGGAAGTGAAGGCACCTCGGAGAAAGGCAAACAAGTAAGTTTCGGACCGCGATTCTGGTTCTGGGCGGTTGCATCCTTCAGCAAAGCATCGAAGTGGGACTCCCATCGCGGGTGCTTCCAAATGGCACCCAACATGCAAGGAAGGGGTGGGGGGGTGGGGCGAAATCCGAAACCCAGCACTTTGAACCTTGGGCTGGGAAATGTGAAGAGTTCGCCTCCCCACGATGAAAAGTTCGCCTCCCAGCACTAAGCTGAGTGCCACGCTCTGCGCATGCCAGGCGGTAGTAACACATTCCGGCGCGCCGGTGTGGGCAAACCGACAGGCCAAAGCCATCATCCGACACACGCCCAAAAGCAAAGGCGTTGAGTTGGGCAAAGAAAACCAGCTCTGACTTGTTCTTCTTTCAGATACAGCCGGCGCGACCGCGGTCAGACGGCTTCAGCCCGCACTTGCCCTGCAGGAGCTTCAAAGGCGGCGGTCGCGACGTCCATCTCAAGCTGCTCGTGCGACCATTGCCGCACTGAGAACACGAACACGGGAAGTCCCAGGTGAGGATTTGATTTCATGGATTTCAGAGCCACAATTCGTCAGAACCTCATGAGCAGCATGAGCGGGTGTAAAACTTCTGTCTGGACTCTCGACTGAGCCACATGACCAACTTGGACCAACTATACCAATCCTCATTTACCATGCACGTCTGACGGTCCCCTGTACACAAACGCGCATGCATGCCCGAGGAAGACAAAGAGCTGGACTTTCTCATAGATATCTCTGCCTCTCCCTTTTGCGGGAGCAGGGACAGCGAAGCTGCGAGCAAGGTTTTTAGCGCTCTTCAAACCCTTGAAATCAGTCTTGCAAGTGTCTTTAGCTCCTCTCACTGAGGCAAATCTGCACGCTGCCTGAAAGAACAGCAAGCGCGCAGAAAGTTCTCGTAGACTCCTGGCAAAATGCACCACCGCTGTTTTTTCATGTGCAGTCTCTTTGTAGTGACTAAGCCACACACCCACATACGTCTTTACAACTTTCTCTAGAAAAAAGATCTGACAAAGCAAGGTGGTCTCTTGCAATCATGAACAGCCCGCGCAGCAAAGATGTGCTCGCCAAGCTTCGCTTGCAGCCAGGATATTCTCCCAGCATGCGCTCCTGGGCATAAGCAAGGTCATCATTCCATGCCACGACACTTGAGGGGAGCGCCTTTGCATTGGCATGTATCAAGACGCGCACATTCTGGGGGATGCAAACTGCACAAGCGAGGCTCTGGATGGAACTGCAGGCCAACAACGTAGTGGCCAGTCTCCGGGTCGTACTTCTCATCGTAGAAGGCCTGCATGCCCAGTGAAAAGGCCTCTTTGTTGGCACAAGACCTGGCTGGAAAATGCACTCCAAAGTCTTGGCCAATTGAACCCGATCAGTTGAACAGCTTCACGTTCTCTGTTTGAAAAGGTCAACCTCAGCGAGGATGGACCGCTGGGCTTGCACAAAGAGCTGCCAGCTGTCTTTAGCATAACCGTTTAACTTTGTGATCTTGGAGCTTACGTACGTCATGGGCATGGATCACAAACTAGAAGGGCTCCAGCCCTTCTGTTGGCCAAATAAACATCCAGCAAGGCCCCGTTTAAAGGAATCCCCCCTCTAGGGCCTTGCCTTTCTGTTGGGGCTTCTGCACTCAGGTGGCTGTGGGTCAAAACCCTGCAATTCTTGGTGAACATCAAAATAACCCTGCACCCCTGGTGACCATGAAAAATAGGGTTCATCCACCCCGAAATGGAGCCATTTTGTAGAAGCCCCACGGCCGGGTGTCTCTCGACCAGTCACGAAACCTCTTTGAGCTCGCCTCGGTGACTCCATCGGGGGCGCAGGCCATCTCCAGCAAACCGCTGCCCAGCTCCTTCGATCCCTGGGCTCGCGGACACTCGCCGCGCTCGCCGCGCTCGCCGCGTCCGCGGGGAAGTGGGGGGACTTGCTCATAGGTCCAGGGAGGCTGTGGCTCAAAAACACGGAGCCCAACATGGCATGGCAAATGGAGCCAAAGACTACCTGCGCAGCCCCAGCTAGTTTAAGCTTGACCCACAGCCAAATGAACATAGAACCCAAAGGAAACACCCCGGGAACGCAACATCCAGCTCAGCCGGTTTCCTGGGGAGGTTGCGCGCGTTTCTTTTTCTTTCCGGGAGTTGTTCAAACGAAGCGAACCGGAAATCGCCAATCCGTGCGTGTCCATTTATCTAAACAAACAAACAAACAAACAACCTACCTACCTACCTACCTACCTACCCACCTACCCATCCACCCACCCACCTACCTACCTACCTACCCACCCACCCACCCACCCACCCACCCACCCAAACAACAACAACAACAAGGTTGGACGGGGGGGGTTTGCCCGGGAAAACAATGCGAAACGGCCGGGGAGGGTTTGCCCGAAGAACAATGTCACCGATCAAGTCATCAACACTGCGTGGTTCCCAAGACGTGTTGTTTGGCCACCAAAACCTGTTTGCACACAGCTGTGAAATTGAACAACCCTAAGCAGGCAATGTTTCCGGTCAGGGCCAGGATTGGCACAAACATCTCAACAACACACTGACACACACGCGTTCGTCGCAAAAAACAAGGTCTCAACAACAAACTGACACACACACACACACATTCGTTGCAAAAAACAATGTTTCCACACCAGTTCACTTCATTTGTCGCACGGCGTCCTCTGAAAACCAACCAGCACGAAAATCTCAACAACAAACTGTCTGGACCAAGGCTTTAACGAACGCAAGAACCGCCTTTTTTCCCTCACAGAAGCACATCTCGCTCCAAGTTACTAAAGCCTCTCCGGGTGGAGTCTTATCTTGAACAGCCACCCTGTAAGTTGCAAAGCACTGAACCACAGACTTTAGGTCGGGATTTTCCTTCAGCCACCAAGCGGACACACCGTCTCGCGTTCCGCCTCCTTTCTTGGCACCGGATCTACCCAACTTGTTCGTTCTGCGAAGTTGCTCTTTGAGCTTACTTTGCCAAGTTCTCGCATTTTTGGTCCCCCCCACTTGATCGGGTGTGCTTACCAGTTGGTGGGCTTGGATACAGTTCTGCGCGGGTGCACTTGAACGGGTGTGCTTACCAGTTGGTGGGAACCAACTCGTAAGCACACCCGTTCAAGTGCACCCGCTCAGAACTGTGTCCAAGCCCACCAACTGGTAAGCACACCCGTTCAAGTGCACCTGCTCAGAACTGTATCCGAGTCCACCAACTGGTAAGCACACCCGTTCAAGTGCACCCGCTCAGAACTGTATCCAAGCCCACCACCTGGTAAGCACACCCGTTGAAGTGCACCCGCTCAGAACTGTATCCAAGCCCACCAACTGGTAAGCACACCCGTTCAAGTGCCCGCTCAGAACTGTATCCAAGCCCACTGGTAAGCACACCCGTTCAAGTGCACCCGCTCAGAACTGTATCCAAGCCCACGGATACAGGTCTGAGCGGGTGAGCGGGTGCACTTCAACGGGTGCGCTTACCAGTTGGTGGGCTTGGACACAGTTCTGAGCGGGTGCACTTGAACGGGTGTGCTTACCAGTTTGTGGGCTTGGATACAGTTCTGAGCGGGTGCACTTGAACGGGTGTGCTTTCCAGTTGGTAGGCTTGGACACAGTTCTGAGCGGGTGCACTTGAACGGGTGTGCTCACCAGTTGGTGGGCTTGGATACAGTTCTGAGCGGGTGCACTTCAACGGGTGCGCTTACCAGTTGGTGGGCTTGGATACAGTTCTGAGCGGGTGCGCTTGAACGGGTGCGCTTACCAGTTGGTGGGCTTGGACACAGTTCTGAGCGGGTGCACTTGAACGGGTGTGCTTACCAGTTTGTGGGCTTGGATACAGTTCTGAGCGGGTGCACTTGAACGGGTGTGCTTTCCAGTTGGTGGTGGGCTTGGATACAGTTCTGAGCGGGTGCACTTGAACGGGTGTGCTTACCAGTTGGTGGGCTTGGATACAGTTCTGAGCGGGTGCACTTGAACGGGTGTGCTTACCAGTTGGTGGGCTTGGATACAGTTCTGAGCGGGTGCACTTGAACGGGTGTGCTTACCAGTTGGTGGGCTTGGATACAGTTCTGAGCGGGTGCACTTGAACGGGTGTGCTTACCAGTTTGTGGGCTTGGATACAGTCTGAGCGGGTGCACTTGAACGGGTGTGCTTTCCAGTTGGTGGGCTTGGATACAGTTCTGAGCGGGTGCACTTGAACGGGTGTGCTTACCAGTTGGTGGGCTTGGATACAGGTCTGAGCGGGTGCACTTCCTGAACGGGTGTGCTTACCAGTTGGTGGGCTTGGATACTGAGCGGGTGCACTTGAACGGGTTCGCTTACCAGTTGGTGGGCTTGGATACAGTTCTGAGCGGGTGCACTTGAATGGGTGCGCTTACCAGTTGGTGGGCTTGGATACAGTTCTGAGCGGGTGCACTTCAACGGGTGTGCTTTCCAGTTGGTGGGCTTGGATACAGTTCTGAGCGGGCGCACTTGAACGGGTGTGCTTACCAGTTGGTGAACTCGGATACAGTTCTGAGCGGGTGGTTCTGAGCGGGTGCACTTGTACGGGTGTGCTTCCGAGTTGGTTGGCTTGGATACAGTTCTGAGCGGGTCAACTGGTAACCACCCGTTCAAGCGCAAGCTCAGAACTGTATCCAAGCCCACCAACTGGGCACACCCGTTCAAGTGCACCCGCTCAGAACTGTATCCAAGCCCACCAACTGGTAAGCGCACCCGTTGAAGTGCACCCGCTGGTGGGATTGGATACAGTTCTGAGCGGGTGCACTTGAACGGGTGTGCTTACCAGTTGGTGAGCATGGATACAGTTCTGAGCGGGTGCACTTGAACGGGTGTGCTTACCACTTGAACGGGTGTGCTTACCAGTTGGTGGGCTTGGGTACAGTTCTGAGCGGGTGCACTTCAACGGGTGTGCTTAGCAGTTGGTGGGCTTGGATACAGATCTGAGCGGGTGCACTTCAACGGGTGCGCTTACCAGTTGGTGGGCCTGGATACAGTTCTGAGCGGGTGCACTTGAATGGGTGTGCTTACCAGTTGGCGGGCTTGGATACAGTTCTGAGCGGGTGCACTTCAACGGGTGTGCTTACCAGTTGGTGGGCTTGGATACAGTTCTGAGCGGGTGCACTTCAACGGGTGCGCTTACCAGCTGGTAGCGGGTGCACTTGAAGGCTGTAGCAAAAAAACCAGGGGGGGGTTTGCCCGTGATTTTCAAGGCGCGCGCGCAATGTTTGTAAAAATGATGCCCGACGTGCGACTAATAACATCCTGCTGACATGAAAATGCGAAACAAAAGCGCAGTCATTATCTGCGAAGACATGCAAATGCCCAGTGATATGTGTAATACTTGCCGCGTTTTACAGCACGTCGCGCACCCATCTGCCGTGGTATGTGCCAAGGCATCGTGTGTCACAAGGCTGCCAATGCACTGATCACAAGACAACGAACGCAGGTATAATTTC